AAAAGAAAGAGAGCGGACCGAAGCCAGTTCTGGTCTTGGCAGTGATGTAGCCCGGTAATTTACAGCCTCTTATCGTATATAATGAACACACCCCGTGTGCCCATGGGCACCCTTCGACGGCCCTTTGGGGTGTCAAAAGAGGTGATTGGAGAAAGGGGGGAGGGGGGTCAGGAGACGCAGGTGGTGATGCTCGGGGGCACCCTTGGGTTCACTCAGCAGGCTGCAGTTCCACCTCACTGTGCTAGGTCCTCATCTGCAGCGGCCCTGCCATGTGCTCACACCAGAGAGAAAGAGAAATGGGAAGGGGGGATAGGAAAAACGGAGGAGAGACAAAACGGGGGAGATAGGAAGTACAGATTTTTAACTAAATAAAATCAAAGTTGCATTACCTTAGAACACCCATGGAAATGTTCTGACCGAATGAAGTCTTGCGAGTTTAAAGGTTTGCAGTGAGATCACTGCCAAAGCTGTGAGACATCAATGCTTTTTGTCACTTCAATGCAAGACGCTGCCGTAACCAACTGAACATAAGATTTTTATTTTTGATTTTGCTGGATGCCCTTCCTGATGCACTTGTGAAGAGCAGAGGGCTGCCATCTCAGGCGCTCGGGGAGCAGACGTGGAGCCTTGCTCAACAGCTCAGAGTGAGGCGAATGAGAGAGGAGGAAGATGCTTCACCTTTCCCATTCAAATTTTTGTTGTAATGATCCGGGGATTCGAAGCCGCAACCTCCGGATCGCAGGCTCGCTTTATCTAGCTTCAAGAGTTACAACTTCCACCTAAACACACAAAAACATCTGGAATTAAGCCAGTTTGAGTGATGTTCAGCTAAAAATGAGTTTGGTGCTTTCTAAAAGTCATCTACCAACATGTACTCTAAGCACTATACGTGTTTTATAGTGAAAATACGGTGGCCCTGAGGCGTAAATGAACATTTGAAAAAATGGAATTACATTAAGCCAAACCGGGAGTGACAGGTATTTTACAGTAACAGGGTGGACGGTTGACTCAGGGACTCAATTTATTTTTTTAATAATTAAAGCATACAAATATTTTGACATCATGAAAAGTCATTGGATGAGAACTATTATAAATAGTACTATTAAAGTTATTTTTTAATGACTTTTGCTTTATATTTATTACTTAGAATTGTAACTTAATTTCTGGAAGCATGAAAGGGGGACATGGCAGTAAACCCAAGTTGTATTAAAAAATTAGATATAATTATTTTAAATAAATTCATCTTGTATATATATGGTTGTGTTTTATAGTAGAGGGGAGTCAAACGTATAAGATGAGATTAATAAAATAAATATTAGCCCACCTTTAAACAAAATATACAACAAAATATGGCATGAGGACTCAAAAGGCACCGTATAATAGGAATATTGTTCTGTTTTATGTTGTTAATAAAGTAACAAACAAAAAAAACACTTCTGGTTTGGCTTAATGTAATTCCGTTTTTTCAAATGTTGTTAATTTACACCTCAGGGATGCCGTAGAAAAAAAAAAATGTCAGCTATAACAACAGAGTCAACAGGCCGTTTTATTTTTATTTCTTTTTCATTTATAATTCTAAAGTAATTGATCCTATATTACTTTTTCTTTGCTGTTCTGCTCTTAGTAAAGTAATGTTAGGAGCCGGACGAGCTCATGTTCGTAATAATTAGCAGGGTTTTTAGTCTGCAGTAGGCTGTAGAGAAGCCATGTTTGACTTTAACTGCCAGATAAAAGGTAAAACCAACTAAGTTTGTCTTAAAAATAAAAACATAAAGTGAAGTCTCCATTCAGCTACACAACACCGTAGCTGTTCTGAGCAACAAGCGAGGAAGCAAAAACTGTTGCTTCACATCTGGAGGAAAGCCAAACAAGTTCTTTATAGCAGCAGTGGAGGTTGTTTTAGGAACAAACACTTCCATTAGAAATAAAATATTTTCAAATACTTTCAATTTCCTGCTCCAGATTAGATGAGAAATCCTCAGCACTGACTGCAGTTTTTTATGATTGGTTGCTCATTGTTTCTGTAGGGCGGGCGTTAAGAGGAATAATCAATAGTGTGATTTGGCTGAAAAAAAACTGCATCCCCACAAATCATAGAATAATAGATGAAATGTTCCCCATAGGAGATCGTATGTTCTCTGTGCTTTGGCACATCATCCACACATTTTAATCTATTGCAAAATGTTCAATTGCCCACTCCTTGCCTGAATAAGGCTTAACCTCATTCTAACCTTAATCTAAAGTCTGAAGTTGTACGTACCATTCATTTTGTGTTGAATTAAGAAATACAGAAAACGCTTTTCTTATCTGATTTATTTTACACCAGCACTAGACGTTTGCACAGCAACAGGACATTAGGCATAAATAACCCTCCATAGGCCTCCTCTGTGCATTAGTATCCCATTCACTGGTCTGATAGGAGGCCCTAATTAAAGGCAGGTGAATCTGAACTCAATTATTATTCTTGCAGCATCGTGCAAGCCCACCACGCTCTGTGATGGATTGTGATCTCTGCTGTGGTTGAGACGCCAGAAAGAGCACAATGTCTTACAGCGGGAGCCACTGATAACTTCATGCAGACAAATAAAGACTGTCACTTTTATTGATTTTTACCCAGCCCCCACCGCCACCACCATATACATCCACATCTCCCGCTCCATCCCTTTCTTGGTTTTTATTCCCCGTCCCTTCATCCCCATCGCTTCCCTTTTAATGGGAACGCGTCCTACATCATCCCCAAGGCATCTGAAAACGTTTTCCTCCATAAAAGTATAACAAAGACATAATGTGACCAGACTCAAACATTTTAAATTCCACTTTTCATTCCTCCTTTTTTCCTGTCCGCCAAAACTAACTATACATGGATACTGTATGCACTTGAGTGAAATTGTAAATAAAACATGCGGATGGAAATTAAATTGTCTCTTAACAGTGGGGCAGTGGTAGAGGCACATAATGAGAAATGCAATTTATTCCCTGGCACGTTGCTGCTTGGACAGGCAGATAATGAAAGGCATAGGTCATTGATGGTGACTTAAACCTGCAGCAGTGCGGTGAAATACATTAATAAATATCCGCAACATTACTTGGATGGAGAGCATAACACGTAGGGGAGCAAATGACGCAAGAAGCAGCTCCTCGTCAGACACGAGAATACAATTAGTCTTTGGACTGCTGGTGAGAGGCTCCCCGCAAATCATAATATCCCTGATCATTGACATCTCTGAATATCCATTACAGCTACCCAGTAGGGACCTGTGCTGTGGCAGTCTGAGGAGCCGAACTCTGTGCCCTTTATGATTATTATCTCAGACGTCACACATACTATACATCCACAACGCACCAGGTGTCGGAAACACATTCTTGCTATTTTGATCAAAAATTATAAACGTTATGCCCGATTTCATGCAATCTTGTGGGCTCTTTAGCACTCAGTGAAGATGCTTAGGATGCCTCTCAGCTACTACCACAACGAAATCTGCTCAATATTTTTATAATTGACTGTGTTATAGCTGTTTTTGTGTTGTTATGGCTGAGTAGTTGGGGCAACCATAAGTCCATAATAAGTCCACATGTTAAGTTTTGGATCTATATCCATTGATTACTTTTGTAGACAGAGCTGACACCAGTAGTTAATGCCAAAGCTGTAAGCATAAATATTGTCTTGTGGAGAGGATATGCGTTTTGTTTTTTGTTTTTTCAAAAAATTATTGCGACTAACGATATTGTTTGAAATTTGACAATAATTAGTAATTATTGTCAAATGTAAGAAGAAATGTTAATTTGTTTTGCGTGAAGTACCTTTTTTCAACCACCGGATGCAGTGCAAGACTGTTTGAACCGAAGGATGGATAGTGAGGGAGCGAGCAGCGTGTCTCTTTAAGAAAAATGGGAGGGAGGCCTCTTGACATGACATGGGCTGTCTCTCTTGGGTTCTCAAACTGGCGGCCGCTCGGTGTGGTTTGAGCTCTTTAGCATATTTTTCACACAAAGCTTTTGATTTAAAAAAAAAATCGGTAAACAACTTCTCAGCTTCTTTTTGCAGAGAAAAACAACTTTTTACACGACGGCACAGGTTTCAACTGAATTTTGGAGCTTTGACAAGATGGAGGTTTTTTTCCTGAGGTCGACCTGTTAGCTTAGCTTATAGCTTAGCTTCTCAACTTAGCTTCTTTTATCGATCCAAAACCACAATTTTGGATGGTTAAAATGGATTTTAAAGAGAAAAGAGAAAGGGAAGGTTCAGTGAAGAGCACCGGACCTTTCGTCATCCAGTGTCTTCAGTAGAAAGAGACACGAAAAAACAATAAAGCCAATAAATGAAAATGATGTCGATAATTTTAATTTATCATGCGATTAAGTGATTTATTGTTTATTGCGACAGGCCTGCAAATCAAAACACCTGGAATAGAATGAGAACAAGCTGCTTCAATTATTTTGTCAAAAGTAACAAAACTGCTATTTTTTGGATTTGTTGTTTAAAGAATAAACATTCAAAGCTGGTTGATTCTGCGTCGTCAAACTTAGGCAGTCATTCTTGGTTTAAAACATTAGTCAGGGTTCTGTGTTTAGTGACTACTGCAACCGCGTGGTCAATAATACATCTCACAGCTGTTGAATAGCTGTGACAGGCTACAATTATTTTGCAAAGCACAATGCGTGTAGAAAAAGAGAAAAGATGGGTTGTATTTATCTGCTGGTATTAAAACAGGTATTCATTAGGACATAATGCCTGATGTTCGTGCATTGTGTGTAACCCAGTCAAAATAATCAGGTAAAGCTCAGTTGTGAAGCTTCTTTTTAGAATCCCAGCAGAGGCAACTCTACTTAACGCAACCTTTGTTTTATTTAGCATGCTAATTAATTCATAGCTTTCTGTTTTTGTCTTACTCTGGCTACCAAAACTGTCCATAGGACCTGAAAAGAAGAGTCATATTCTGCTTTTGCAAAGTTTTGAGTAAATTTCCCCCTTTTTTTTTTTTTTTGTTTCCACATTCCAGCAGGGGACCACCCATTCGAGTGTGAATTCTGCGGGAGCTGTTTCCGAGACGAAAGCACGTTGAAGGGCCACAAGCGCATCCACACCGGGGAGAAGCCCTATGAATGTAATGGCTGCGGGAAGAAGTTCAGCCTCAAGCACCAGCTGGAAACCCACTACCGTGTGCACACAGGTGCTGCAACCACAATATGAGTTTAGCATCTAAACACTGCTGCTCCCTATTGCGTAGGAAAAATACAAATAAAACTAGAGAAAATGCATTTTCTACACAAATACAGTGCTAATGCTGAGAGCTGAAGAATTGTGCTGAAAGAAGAAGGAATTGTTACCTGAAATGTTAAAGTTAAAGCATAAGCTAAACTCAGCAAACTGGTAGCTAAAAGCTAAATTTAGCAAAACAGTAGCTCAAAGATACCGTAGTTAAACAATGGCTAACTCTGTTAGCAAGACGTTTGGTAAAATAAGCGCAAGTAGACAAAAATAGAGCAAGTATATACTCAAGTTAATATCACAAAACAATAACTGAATCAATCTGAATGTGTTTCAGTTGTGAAACTATAGAGTTAAATATTTTAAAATGATAAAAGTTGCAAAGAAACATCATACCCGTTTCCTAAATACAGTGGCAGTTAAGACTTTGGCCACGCCCACTCGCTGTGTTGTACACAAACGTGTTTAAATGATCGTTCTTATGAGTGCCTGTATTTGTACCTGTGAAATGGGAACACAATCAGGCTGTTATTTAACTGTTGAACTTCAGCTGAGCTGCTCCTCTGAGGGCGAACGACTCCTGTAGTTTGAATGACTTTTAAGACAAACCTTTATTTTACGCAGAAAAGATTTGCAATATTCTCCCCTTGAGGGCAGGATCTAGTACTCTGCTGTGTATATGTGCAATGCAGCCAGACTGGTACACAGTATTAACATGTAAAATTATAAAGGTTTAAAAAAAAAAAAATGCGAATGAGGAGATTTCTTAGGAATTTGGACATATTGAGCACAGAGAAGAAAAAATGTGCCAAAAAATGGCAAAGATCAGATTACAATGATTGTGTGTTAACACAATATGCTAACTTTGTTTTTTACGTATATTTAGCTTTTTGGAGGATTTAGATGTTTTTCATTAAAACGGCAATGAATAAGGTTATCTTAATGTTGTAAATGTAGGTCACAAGTTTTAGGCGGTAAACTATGAGCATGGTCAAATTCAGTTTTAACTTGTGAGAATTGAATTTTCACCAAGTCCCTTTGAAGTGAAAACTTGCACAACACTTATCACCTATTCATTTTCTGTTGATAGGTGCATCCAAATTTTAGACTAGCACTGCCAGTAAGAGGTTTAGCAGATTTTCCTGACCAAAAGTCCCAAACACACGTGACAAAACAAACAATTAAGGAACCTAAAGGCTGCTCACTAATAAATAGATTTTCCTCTAATAACACCCAGGGTTAAAGATTTTTTATTTGCACGTTAAATAAAACAGGTGTGTAATAATTAATAGACTTTACATATTATAATACTACCTTCAAAATAGCAATGCAAGGTTTTTAGCTTAATTTTGTTTTTTTGCTAAACTGAGTTAGCATATTATCTTTTCAGCATTCAATTAAGGCACTATTAGAAAGACATTTAAAAAATGTCCAATTACTGATTTCACTGAAAACCTCAATGTTTCGGTCTAACCCTTTTGAACTCTTTGAATGATATATAATTCTGAAGCTTTTAAAGAACTCCAGGATATCTAAGTTGCGAACCACAGGCCAGAGCAGATGAAAACAAGTATTCCTGTGATACAGTAGATGAAAGTCTCAGACGACTTTGTATTGATCCGAGTATATTTAGAGCCCCATAAAGATGTTGACACAGTGATAGGCTAGGTGCCTTGGAGAATGAGTGCATGCTGCAAACTCGATTGAGTGAGTATAGTCTACCACGAGCGCTCACCAGGGTGGCACACGGCCAAGGGTTTATGCTCTCTCGCCATCTTTTTTTTCCTCTAACACACACAGCAGCAACCCTCCCATCTCCCATTCAATAAACCAGCTGTTAAGCCACACTATCAAGGCTGCCTGTCCAATAATTGGCTCCCCTCCGTCCACCCTTTCCCCTTTTGTATGAAGGAGGGGGGGCTCTGCGTTAAGCCGGGGAGCAACAGCAGATAACAAGAGCAAGTGACAAGCTCACAGTCAAAGGCCACCTCGCACAAAAGGAGCTGCTTGATGAATCATCGACATTGGCACCCTGACCCCCACCCATCCCACGTCTCTCCACACATTCTAAATGCCAATGGCTGATCAATAGCAAGGCTCCATTTGCAATTCATTATTAGCTGGTTATTTGAGGGGACTTTGTTTACAGTCTGGTTATCAATATCCACATAGTGCATGTGTCCACAGTGAAGCAAATTAGGTTTGCAACACTGTATTTGTTCTTATTGGCACCATAGCACGGTCCACAGCAGAGGTCAGGGTTACCCGGAGCTCCTCAAAAACAGACGGAGCAACAAAGGCACAAACATGGCTGTTTTGCCGATGCGAACGTGTGAGGCTTCAGCTGAAAGGTGACGGGCAGCACCGGGCCAGATCGCTTCCGACAGCTCATTTCAAATGCCATTGGTAAAGGTCAGCATTTACATGTCTAATTTGAGTCTGCCGGCTTGAGCGCCGGTGGATTATTCCCTGCCATCACTCAAATCATTAGCACGTTTAGGATGACTGCTGTTGCCAAATTGAAATGTGGCTGTTGAATATAACAGCCCCACAGCAAGAAAGCAGTGTCGGACTTTGATTTATAACACCTCCAGGAGTTTGAAGTGGCAGGTTGTGTATATTCTGTAATGCACCTTAGATTAGTTAATGTTTTATGTTGTTCAAAGGTAAAACCTATTGGACTTGTATTCAGTCACATTAATGAGAAATTGCAGCCGCTGTCATTGTTTTGGAAGCTTAGGCTTTAAATCCATCGATATAGATAATAACGGGGCAATGCCACAAACAAAAAACAAAAGAAACGAAACAAGTAATTTCATTTTAGATATAAAAAAAATATCAGTTGGACTTGAATTATTAGTTTTACTTTCGACTTAGCTGCAGAAAGATGTAGTCAAAACATCTTGCAGGCTATAAATTTGTATTTTAGGTGCTTAACAATAATAGTTTTTGTGTGGGCTAACAAAACAAATGTATTATTTCTAAGGGCTTTCATGTAGATGCAACTAAGAGTAATTAGTAGTGTTTATGGAGCCATAAAGACATTTCACAATCACATTTTTGCTCCTAATGGACATATCACTTCTCGGCAGTGGTGTTTACGACATTAGTAAATGACAGCAAGACTAACGTAACTGTTGTCCTCAACCACCTTCTCATCGTCTGTAGGTGAGAAGCCATTTGAGTGCAAGCTGTGCCACCAGCGATCCAGGGACTACTCGGCCATGATCAAGCACCTGCGTACCCACAACGGCGCCTCGCCCTACCAATGCACCATCTGCCTGGAGTACTGCCCCAGCCTGTCAGCCATGCAGAAGCACATGAAGGGTCACAAGCCAGAAGACGTCCCCCCAGACTGGCGCATAGAGAAGACCTACCTGTACCTCTGCTACGTCTGAGATGGAGAAAAGTGAATGAAGAGGGAGGGGATGGGGTTGAGAGGTAGGAGGAATGTAATGGAGTGGATAGGAGGTCTTGAAGATTGTGGAATGTCCACGAGAAGATGCTAGCCAAGCAGGGGTTTGTTTTCTCTTCTTTTCCTTTACTTGCAATGAGCGGCTGGGGGGGGAAAGGGCAGGAATGTCGGGGCAGAAGTAAAAAGAGGAAGACTTGGACACGGAGAGGATTTCTCCACCATTGTTCGGATTCACCGGGTCATTCACTACACCTGCAATTGTGTTAACGTTTCGGGTCATTTCATGTGGCGCCATAAAGCAAGTAGACTGCGAGGAAGTGACTCTTTGGATGATGCTGCCACGTTGGTGAAAGAGCAGATTCTCAAGGGCTATCTGACCTGCATCGAATCCTTTCTTCAAGTTTTGTCTTCTTTAAATTTTACATATATATTAATTTGGTGTAATTTCATCTCAATAGATCAGTGGTTCCCAACCGTCCTTGAGGAACACCATCCTGCATGTTTTCGTTGTTTCCCTGCTCCGGCACACCTGATTCAGTGATTTAATGACTTCCTCATGTTCTGCAGAAGTCTGCTAATCAACCATTATTAAAAGCAGGTGTGTCGGAGCAGAGACGCAACTAAAACATGCAGGATGGTGTTCCTCAAGGACCAGTGTTGGGAACCCCTACAGTTGATTACCTTATGGCCTTGCTTTCTGAACATCAATGTCCTTTAAATGACCAGAACCCAAATATTTATCCGGGACAAAACCTATTTTGCAGGTTTTGGGTAGCCATATCATTTTTTCGTTTCATATTTTCAGTTTATATGTTCGTTGCGTCACCTCTCCTTTACAATGACCCACAGGTCACAGAAATCTGCTAATTAACCTGCCCTCGAATAAAACCGTTCAGAGATGATAGCCCATGAGAATTGTCTGAATTAGAGCCTGTAGGCTTATGCAGTAGATGATGCAGTTGAACTGGACTAGTGAGAGTATTAAAATGCTGCAAACCACCCATGTGGTTCTGAGCAGGGAAAATGCTAAGCGCTGCTTTTTTGTTGGAAGTCTCCCCAGTTTCTTCAGCGGTCTTCCTGGTTCTGCATCTCTTTCAGATGAGGTTCTGGAGAAGCCTGAGTCACCACTGGCCGCTCACGGTTCTCCACAGAGAACCAAAGGCTAAACTTGCGACACTTTCTTTTATCATATATTGTTTTTTTTTTTGTTTGTTTGTTTTTTTAGCTCTGCATCGTAGTTTATCATGGCTTGATTGCACAAGTAAAACAAACTACGACAACAGTTTCTGTTTGATGTCAGCAAGGTATATAAATCCTTCATAGAATATAACTCATTATTACAGTATCACAAAATAAATCCAGCATGTTTACTTATTCAGCAATAGATAACTGGACTGCTTTTTATTCATGCACATTTATCCAGATGACTATCAGTATCTCACACTAATGATAAAGTACATAAACTGACTCGGTAACATTTTGACTGCAACAGATCTATCAGTTCGCCACAGAGAAAATTGGGAAATGGTTGTTGTCTGTGGGAATCCTGTGACTTGGACTTTAATGGGGGAAATAGGTTTAAAGAAGTGCTGGGAACGCCTTAGCAGCACACCACCACGTTTGTCGAAGGTGCGGTGCAGCAGTTTAAAAAACTACAAGTGGCTTCAGTCCCTAAATGTGAAGCCTGGTGTGTACAAGGCCATATTGAAATATGTGCTCCAGCAGGTTAATGCTTTTTATTCAACGTCAGAAACGTACAATTCCCACTTTAGATTAAATATACTTTCCGCCTACAAGTGGTTTAAATGGGACATTTTTGTCTCTCCAACGTGGACATTGCCCTTGCAGCTGTTGCGCTTAATGTGCTTCAGGCTGGGCCAAGCCCCAAGTTTACAATGTAAAAAAAAAAAAAGATTTTATTTGAGAATATGCACTGATTTAGTACCTCTAGGTCCTGCCTTATGATTTAATGCGACTTACATTGGTGGTAACAATGCTACTTTTTAGTTATGTTTGTACGCATCCTTACACAGCACGGAGGGTGGATGTAGGCGCCCTCAATAACAGATTTAAATACTTCTCGGCTTTTGTTGTGTGTGATGCAGAGCGGACGTCTAGGGGAAAAACATTCTTGGCAAACGTGAGAATCGGTGGGAACTTTCTGGCGTCTTTGTAAAACAGTGTTTAACCTGTGAGGCATTCAGAGTCACAAGGATTGCGGTTAAACCCATTTAAAGAACGCGAGCGCACATCACAGCATCTTCTAGGGAAGTGACGTATCCAAAACCATCGGTGGAGTTGAAAACAAAAGAGTGGAGTCACTGATCAGACGAGGCACAGACGAGCAGCTGAGGAGGCGACCTGTAAGGCAGCAGAATAAATCAACTCTTTCTGTGTTGTCTGTGCGCTTTGTCTCTCCTGTCTCTTTTTGTTATTATTATTGACCTTGAGTTCGATCTCAACACATTGTACTTGAATTATCTCTTTTCGTGACCTCATGTTTCTTGTATTTTTAATTTCCCTTATGTTTCATTTGTACATTTTAGCTTTTTTTGTTTTTGTTTGTTTTTTTGTGAGTGCATGTTGGAAGATGCATTGCAAATGTGATGAAGTGGAGCGTACGCAGAATAACTTTAAGTGCCACAAAAAAATGTATTTGTTGAATATCCGATGTTGTGTTTCTCTTTGTGCGTACTTGTTACCAAACTTGGTAATATTAACCCTGTTTGTTAAAGAGCCGGATGGTTTGGTTGTTTGTTTTTTTAAAAAGCTACCTCTAAGTTTGTGTTTCTTTTTTTTTTTTTTGGCCAAAACACATATTTGAGTGTGTTTGTTTTTTGCATTATTTGTCAATGCTACTTCATCTCATGCTTTTTTTTTTTTAATTGATTTATGATTGTCTGTTTTTCAGAAAAAAAAAATGTATATAAAAGGGTAATAGGTTAAAAAAGTAGAGGTGGACAGGATGAGTAAAGTCTTTCAGATGAACTTTGATTCTTCTCTTACAGTCTCCCCCTGCACCTCCAATGAAAGAAGAGCAGAGAGGGAAGGGGGGAGCAATTTTGAAGCCTTAAGTGACGAGTCAGAGATGTGGCAGACGAGACAAAGTACTTTTGCTTTTTATGAGCGTTTGAAAACAAGAATTTAAACTTGAAAATATGTGAATAGAGTTGTAGTTTTGTAATGTGAAAAATAAAATAAAACAACCACAAAACGAAACGGAAGGTTCATCAATAACGCCGCACAGGACAGGTCATGTTTGCAGCGATGCAAAGTGCGTTGGACAATTGAAACTGCAAATTGGAATAAAAAATAAAAAAAGACAAACCAGAAGGTTCAAAATAGAGATTCTCTCAGCAGAAACAGTGCGTGTTCCTGAACAAGAGCCAACAGAGGCAATTTGATATATGAAAATTGTGATATTTTTGTATTGTCAGTCATTTTTCCATTTGTGGAGGGTTAAAGCAGGGCACAAATATTTGTATTTCTTTGTTTTTATTATTATTTGACTAGTTTTTTCCTCTCTCTGGGTGTGAATCATTTTTGCCTTGCTCCTCTTTGATATTGTTGGACAAAAAAACAAAAAAATAATTGTGTGTGAAAATATTGTAATAAGTGTTGCTTTCTGGATGTCAATTGCATTGTAGGTGAAGGACTAAATCTATCCACCACAAATTTTACAAGTGTGTATCTATGTGACAAAGATTTTAAAGACATTAACATTTTATATATATATATAGAGATACACACAAATTATATATATATATATATATATAATGTATATATATGTATAATGTATATATATGTGTGTATGTGTATATGTATATGTGTATGTGTATATATATGTATATATGTATATATACACATATATACGTGTGTTTATATATATATATATATATATATATATATATAT